CTTAAAATGCTTTATTTTCTGCTAAAACTATACTTCAGTGTTATGTAGATTCCCAGACACCTGACTGTTCCTTTGTCTACGGTGTGTCAAACCACAGTAATTTTATCCTTCAGCCTGTGGGCCACGCTATATAGAACCATGGTAAGCAAAATATAGTCCTCAAACCAGCAACATCAGCATCAGCATCTTGGGATCTTGTAAGAAACACGATTTCCTGGCTCCACCCCACATCTAGTGAGTCAAGAACGCCCATGTTGGAGCCCAGCAATTTGTGTTTTAAAAGCCCACCTGGGGAACCAGCAGTTGGCGTAATGGCTGTGTCGCTGGACTCCCATGAAATTGACCGCACTTCGAGTCCCAGACCCAGTGGCTTCAACTCATGCCAGACGCATGTGCTGTGCATGCCCAAGATCCCAAGAGGAGAAAATAGGAGAAGGGACTGTGGTGTGGCCATCCACCTAGGGGGGTGATTTCTCACTTTCTGTCTCTCTGTCTCTCTCTGTCTTTCTGGCAAGCCCATGCACCCTGTAGCAAAAACCTCTCAAAAACAACAACAAAAATCGACCTGGTGATTTGATACACTCTGACATTTGAGAACTGCTAACTCAAGCATTTATCCAATTGCTCTTTTACCAGCACCTTTAATAACTTTGAGTGGTAAAGAACACTGAAACATGAAGGCATCGTATTTTATTCTAAAATCATTTCATGCCTAAGATTTCTACAAATTTGCCAAGTTCTCCAGCTTTATTCGATATTTACCTTCCAAATACAATCATTACCTTCAATCCACATGTCTGTTTTACAGATTCTATTCAATGAAGTTGGAATACGGTAAAACTAGTACTCCCAAAGGTGTTTTGTTGCCATCCATCCTCAGTGAAGGGTGCTGAGAAATGCCTACTCTCTCAGGATTACGTGTATAGGAAAGGTGGAGCCAGGATTTGAACTCTAGCTTAAAACAAAAGTGCATGCTTTTTCTATTTTGCTGCCGAATTATTTGAAACAACAGCTAAGCCAGGAGTCTCTTCACTCTGGTTGAAGCAGCGCTTACCAGTGGGTATTCTACTGAATTAGAAAGAAGTATTATTTGAACATCTATTATCAAATAGCTTTGGTAAGTATCAGGTAAATAGTTTTCTTCAGTCTGAGGGACTTTGATATGCTGGTGTGTGTTTTGATCCAAACAAAGCAGACAGAGGATAATGCCGTTCAGCCTGTGACTGATAGAGCACGTGCTGTGAATCATCTGAATTAACACCGCTTGGGACTGGTGTTCCGGGAGCTGCTTTGGAAAAGTTGGAAATTAATCTATTTCTCTTCAAGACACGGAATGTTTCATCTTGTTTGATTTCCTTATTTCATCGGTTTTTACCCTCTGCTTTATTTTGTCACACTTTGCAACTACAATAGTCAGGTCCTGTTGTCCTGCTGGGCACTGCTTTTTCTTTCCTTAAGAGATAACCTCGCAGTCTGCTCTTCCTCCTCGGGATTGTATTTAGAGGAATTATATTCGACATGTAATGCATGTGCCAGACAGTATGAATATAGTGTATGCGTATGAGTATACACGACCTCACGTAAATCACATGACTTCACGATGATGGTACTCGTGTATAAATTGTCTAGCTGTCACAGTATACAACATTCACACAATGCAGATAAGCTGTGTCAGCATAGTTGTGCGTGGTGTATGGCTTCCCTGCCAAATCCGTGCTGGATGGTACTTGTGTATAAATTGTCTAGCTGTCACAGTACACAACATTCACACACAATGCAGATAAGCTGTGTCAGCATAGTTGTGCGTGGTGTATGGCTTCCCTGCCGAATCCGTGCTGCACATCAGAATCAGAATTTTGATTCTGGGACCAGCAGTAAGTGTCGCTGAACTCCCATGTAGTTGACCGCGGTTCAAGTCCTGGACCTGGTGGCTTAAACTCACATTGGGTGTGTGTGCGTGTGTGCCCAAGATCCTGAGAGGAGGATGGAGGAGAAGGGATTGCAGCATGGCCATCCTCCTTGGGAGTGATTTCTCGCTTTCTGTCTCTCTGTCTCTCTCTGTCTCTCTGGCGAGTGCATGCACCCTGAAAAATGCCGCTCGGGCGGGGTGATTCCCCGTTTGGCCAAAAAAAAAAAAAAAAAAAATTGTGATTCCAATTTAGATGAGGTCTTCTCACAGTCCTCATGTATATCCTGAACACCATCTGGAAGGGCATTTTCCCCTAGATGTGTAAAAAAAAAAAATGAAAAGTTAAATTGAAAAACATCACATTATGGCATGAGACTATACACTATTAAAACTGTTAACTTAGTATGTAATGGCAGACGATTCACATAGTTGAAATGTAGTATTGTTTTAATTTCAATTAAGGTTCACTAGGCATTCTTAAGCCACCAGAGCCTTGCATTGAATAGATGTTTTTCTACTGGTCCAGCATATTCTCTCTTTCTCTTTCATTGCACAGGTTCTGCAGACCTACTTCTCTGTGTTCCATGCTCTTCTTGCCCTACACTGGTCTACTCGGGTATGTTTGCTCAGGGCATGCACTAGCACTGGCAGGTAACTATGGGTATGACCTACAACCACCTAAATTCAGACTTTTAAAATGCACATTCTGTATAACCTCTATAATGGGAAAGATTGTTTTCCTCCAAGGACCTTGCATAATTATCTTTGTAGCATTCTGTAGGTCTCGGGGTCCTTATTTAGTCTGTGTTCTCCTATACTGAGATGGTAGAGTTCTCTGATAGGAAATCACATAAAGAAATAATTTCTGTAATGTACTAATATGTAGCTATTGGAATATTAGGTTAATTGCCACATGTTTTGTAACAAAACATGGAAAACATGTTAAAAAAATAAATAAAAGCAGCCAGATCGGGACCAGCAGATCATTGCCACGTGTTTTGTAACAAAACATGGAAAACATGTAAAAAAAAAAAAATAAAAGCAGCCAGATCGGGACCAGCAGATGATGTAATGGTTATTTTGCTGGATTCCCTCATGGCTGACTATGGTTCAAATCCTGGACCCAGCAGCTTGAAAAAAATCACATCAGATGTGTGTGTGTGTGTGTGTGTGTGTGTGTGTGTGTATGTGTGCATGCCCAAAGTCTCAAGAGGAGGGTGGAAGAGAAGCTATTGTAGCATGGCCATTCCCATCCCAGGGGGTGATTTCTTGCTTTCTGTCTCTGTCTTTCTGTTTTTCTGGCAAGCACACATGCTCTACAGCAAAAATCTCTCAAAAACAAACAAAAACCTAATCAACAAAAAAGAATCATTTGTAAAAATTACAGTAATATATATAAAGGAAAACTATTATGAAGGATGATATATATATATTAACTATACACATTTATATTCTGATATTAACTGGATATATATTCTTTTTTTCTGATGTAGAAAACTTTTTCCAACATTTTTATGTAGGAAAGCAAATCATAAGACATAATCTGAAATATAACTTATCTTTCTCATATATAATGTACAGACACATACATAACCATGTATTTATACCTACAAAATCTGTCTGGGTGGTTACAAACAAAAATGTCATCAGCGTTTGTTTCTGTGTAGCATGATAATAGCTCTTTGCTCATATCTAATATTTACATAATAAATATGTATTGCTTAAGTTGTAAAAAAATGCTTATAACCTATTTTTTAAAAGAAATTACTCTTTCAATTTGCTCCAAAATCTTAATCTATAGATACGTTTTTTCCGGTCCTGGTTTTTAGGTCATGGAAAAGAATTGTATCTCTAGTCCGTGCAGTAACTCTGACACTGTAGATATAGAGTCATCTCGTGGCTGTCTCCTTCAGTCTGTCAAATGTTCTTTGACTGACACATGGGCACACTGCTGTTTAATATGAGTTCTAAATTACTAAATCATTTTTGTGGTTCATAGTTAATAAAGATCTATATGGATCAGGGACTTTGGCAGAAAATAGGATGTTTTACTGTCATGGGTGACACGGTGCCTGTCGTAGTGATTCTTCTCATTACAGAACTCAGTACATTGTGGAGAAGACACATAATGAACAATTATTCACATAAAATGTTGATTATTATGGTTGTAAAGATGTTAAGATGAGATAAATGCATGCAACAGGACAAATCTACCTTGATTAGTAATGGAAGGGTCAAAAAAAAAGAAGATATTTAAGGTTAAAAACCAAAGAATTATAGGTTGGTGAGTTAAGGATTAGTGATTAGAGGAGTTAGCTTGGGCTGTTTGGGATAAGCCAAGCATTCCAGATAAAAGAAAAGTGTATATAAAAACAATTGAATTCCTTCTCACTCTTCCTTCCTCCTTTTCTACTTCTTTTCCATCAAATAAATATTTATTGAGCAAATGCCATGCACTTTTCAAGCCCTGTGAGTAATTTAAGGATTTATAATACTTAAGATATTTGTGGTCTGGGACCAGCATTTGGTATAATGGCTATGTTGCTCGACTCCCATGGTCAACCCTGGTTCAAGTCCTGGACCCAGAAGCTTAAACTCACACCAGGCGCATGTGTGTGCATGTCCAAGATCCCAAGAGGAGAGTGGAGAAAAAGGGATTGCTGGGTGGTCATTCCTCCTGGGGGGTTATTTCTCGCTTTCTGCCTCTCTGTTTCTCTCCATCTTTTTGGCGAGTGTACACACCCCATAGCAAAAACCTCTCCAAATAAATAAATAAATAAATAAATAAATAAATAAATAAATTGCAGCACAATTGGTGAATCAGAAATATTACATAACTATGACACAAAACAAACAAAAAGATAGAATATTGTAGAAACAATTATTTTTGCCTTGCCATCCTAATATGACTGGGATTTTATAGAAATACTAGAATTTGGTATACTGGTATATTATGGTTAATAGAAGTAGTACTCTAATGTTAATGCGACTGTAAAAGTTCTTAAAGAGTAAAAGAAAGCATTAAAATGTGCAACACAATAGACATATTATTAAGTACATGTTTTGGTTTTGTTCTGTTTCTCCTCTACAGGTCTGTGAAGCAGGCAGAAGAAGTTGCAAGTGGTCCTTTAAAAATTGCAATTATTCAGATCCTTACGTATAGTTCTAATTTTATTTACTTGTGTAATCACTTAGAGAATGGTTATTTTTATAATATCAGTAATCAAGTCCTGTTGTAACCAGGGGGTGCCCAAGAGTGTAATCAGAGTACACTAATCCTGGCAGAGGGCTGTGGGCTGGTCAAGATGTCTGTTGCCTTATGACATGGTTCATGTCCTGGGTGTAGATTACTTTATACATAGTTACTAAGATGAATATTTGATATATTAAATATCGCCTGATTCAAATAACTTTGCTTAAACTTTTTCTGTATTTTAACTTGTCTAGGGATTTTTACTTCTTCTATTTTTATAATATTTTCTCATTTTTTAGATTAATAAACATTATACTTAGCCACATGTGCCAAGAGGTGCATTTAGGTCTCTGGGGAGTCAGCCGTTGGTATCACCACCTGCCATCCATGTTTCGTCACAAGAGATGTTCCACCACCACTGATCCGTCCCATCATTATTTCTTTTGTCCTACGCAAACAAATAATTGCTATGTGTTAATTCAATAAAGAAAATGAATAAGGAATGAAATGCATGCCCCCAAAACATGTGCAATGAAAATTGTTTGACTATTTATCCAATTAATGAACCCAAGTGAGAGTATCCATTTTAAACTCTATATATGCTTGCTTTCAGAATATGTTATGCATTGATGCTAAGTGAATAGATCCAAGTAAATCTATTGAGTATCTCTATTGTTTGTATTATCTTATTTGTCTTAATCTAAGTATTTTCTTTTTTAAATTTACCAGATGCCATGCACACTCACTGGAGAAAGAGAAAGAGAGAAAAAAATGAGAAAGCATCACCTCCCAATGGAGAATGGTTATGCAGCTATTCCGTCTCCATTTCTCCCTCCTTTCAGGATTCAGAGTATGCATACACACACACACCACATGTTTTTTAAGCTGCCAGGTCTGGGACTCAAACCATGCAGTTGGTCATGTGAGATCCACCCACTTTAAGCACCATCCTACTGGCTGGCTCCTAACATGTTTTTTATTTATTATTATTTTTCTGGACCTTTAAATCATTAGAGTAAATTAGAAAGCTGCCTCTATAACTTTCAGGGAACTTATTTTGTATTTATTTTATTTTATTTATTTATTTATTTATTTATTTATTTATTTATTTATTTTTTGAGAGGTTTTTGTTACAGGGCACGTGTGCTCGCCAGAAAGACAGAGAGAGACAGAGAGAATTACATGGGAGTCCAGTGATATAGCCATTATGCTAACTGCTAGTCCCCCTATTTATTTATTTTAGTTTTTGCTACAGGGTGCACATGCTCACCAGAGAGAGAGAGTGAGTGAAAGAGAGAGAAAAGTGAGAAATTACCCTCTTTCTCTTTCATGGGAGCATGGCCACACCACAATCCTTTATCCTCCATTCTCTCTGAATTTTGGACACATCTTACCCACCATGATGTTCAAACTGCCAGGTTTAGAAATCGAACCTCGCAGTTGGACATCCGGTGCCTTAACCTCCACACTACCTGCTGGTCCCTATGAAGAAACAATTATTAACAGGCTAAAGAATTAAGAAAGAAATTTGATTCTATCAAATCAGTTTCCTAAGCCAAATAATTTAGCCACATGCGCCAAGTATTCTTACATTAACATTTTCTTGTGTATAAAATCGTGTGACTAATTTCATAGAAGTACTTTTTTAATAGATAGAAACAAATTAAAGGCTTATGAAACATAAAACTTTGAGCAGAAGGAAGAGAAGGCAAGAAATTAGGTTTATTGTACCAGAAAACCTCCTGTTTTTAAAAATCCTTGCCATAAAGGATTTCTTTGAAAATGTATAAATCCTAAAGTTTTCACCATTAGAAATATCCTTTCTTTAAAACCTTTTACCCCTAATTTCTTTGTCTAAACCATACTTTCCTCCAAACATCACTTGGTTGGTGCCCACTTTTGTCCCCCTATTTCCCACAGAACTTTACCTGGAGACAGTAACCCTACTAAGTGCCACACCAACCTCAAGAGTGAGGCCCACTAGAATATTAGAATATATAGAGTTTAAGATGCATCCAAGAGAAACAAAGTCAGACATTATCTGAAGTGCTAAGTGCAGATTTTAATCAGTAAAAAACTATTATTAGGTCGTCAGGTAAGTCATGACATATTTTCCTATACAAAAATGCGTCACGACTTCCCCAACAACCCCTGTAATGGAGAAGCGCATCCAGCATATACTGGAGTCAACTTCAATTTGTGCAAAGGTCACTGAGCAACTTACAAGTAGAATGAGGAGGTAGAGAGGGCATGGGATGGGCTTTACATAGAACAAGGACACTGGAAATTTACAAAAGCAGGAGAGTGAGTTGGTACATGTAAAACTATCTGGGCTTGCTAGTGGGTACTTATCAAAGTTAGATATCTAGGGACCAGCAGATGGCATAGCAATTATATCACTGGGCTCCCACATGACTGACTGCAGTTTGAGTCCTGGTTCCAGTGGCTTGAAAATTATACTGGGCACATATGTGTGTGCGCCCAAGATTCTGGGAGGAGAATGGATTGTGATGTGAAATAACTCCTGGGGTAGGGGTGATTTCTCACTTTCCTTCTCTCCCTGAGGGGTGATTTCTCACTTTCTCTCTCACTGTCTCTATCTTTGTTTCTCTCTCTGGTGAGCACACATGCTCTGAGACAAAAACCCCTAAAAAAATTTTTAGATTTCTAAGGGGCCTATCTTAGGGGTTGGCTGGAACAAACACTAAGTTCTGTTGGCAGTCCCGAGTTTTCTCAGGCCGGAACATAGTAGTCATTACCCTAAAGATGTGGCCTTCAGCTGTTAGAAACTATGTTAGTGTTTGTTAAGACTTTTAACATGGTGGAGAACAGGGGTAGATTAAATAGTTTGTGCTGAAAGTCTGCAGTTTTCATAGGTTGAGGTTAGGGCTTAGTTGAGAAGAGGGTTTAAGAGGAACTTGACTGAATTCAATCAAGGAGAGAATCTTTGTCAAAGGTAGGACACACACACACACACACACACACACACACACCAGGTCTCTGCCCTCTATTCTTTGTTTGTGCTTTTAACCATTTTCAGAGACTAATGGTGGAGGCCAAGGTCACTGAACAGCTAGATTCCAAGTCAGGAAATTTCTCCAGTTGTTTTCCAATCTCCTGTGTCAGATGTTGCACATAAAACATGAATCTCTTGGCACTGATCTTGGCCTCTATTACTCAATTTCCCTCTGTTGTAGTTTTTTGCACAACTCTAGAGTTATTGCAATAGTAGAGCCTGGAAAGCCACATAAGAAGGGCTTCTCTATATGCTCCTCAGATTCCCTACTTCAACATACCTACTGAGGATAAATAGCTTTAAGTACCCTGTCATGCCATGTCCTCTGGGTGCTCCTGGCTGAGAGCGTGGCAGTTTCTTCTTATCTTTCCCTTTCCCCTTTTCCTTCCTTCTCCTCCCTCCTTTTCTCTTCTACTCTCTCCTCCTCCTCCCTCCTGTTCTTCCTTCTCTTCCTCTGCCTCATAGGGCGGTGTATTAGTCAAAGGGAGAGGACAACTCCCCCTTCCCCATGGGGAATGATCACTCCACAGCCCTTCTCCCAGGTTCTCTTCAGGGATTTTGGGCACATACACACACACACCCAGTGTGTTTCTCAAGCTGGCAGGTCTGCAACTGAAACCACACGGTTGGCCATCTGGGGTCTGGTTTCCTTAACTACTAGAACATGCAGCGAGCTCAACTGCAATAGCTTCTGATCTTCTGGGTATGGAGGCTAGACCCTTATTCTCAAGGGTCTCACAGCCTAGTGGGGAACACATACATATGAACATAGGAAGGGACTTCAAAAAGTTCATAGAAAATGTAATTAAAATAGGTTATTTTAGTGCAAAAATTTTTTGAAATACATGCCTAGTCATTTTCATAATATATATTTTCCATGAACTTTTGAGGATCCCAATAAAATGTGGTAATGTGCAATGATAAGGACACTTCTAAGCCAGTCTACTGTGAGTGCACAAAATAGCAGTCATGAATACACCTGGGATCTAGTTTAGGAAGAGGGCAGGCTGTAGAGTGGGTGGGAAGTCAAAGAAGACTTCCAAGAAGAGAGGATGCTTCAGCTGGTTCTCTAAAAATGCGATGGAGTCAACCGAGAAAGGAAGATAGATTGGAGGGTTTTGGTAGGAATAATAGAACGAACCTAGTATGGAAGTCTGAATGGGTAGAATGGACAAAGATATTGAATGCATGGCATTTTTTACTAGGGCGTGTAAATATAGTATAATGTGGAAATTAGTGGGTAAAGGAGTGGGTACAGACTAGACTAGGAAAATCATATAGGCCATTCAGTGATCACTTCAGAATCACCAATGCTCAGGTTCCACTCTCTGGGGTTATGAAGATCCAGTTGGATGGAGGTGGACACCATTCATCAGTGTTTATTTCAAAACTTCTCTCTTGATTCTAGTGAATAACCAAGGATGAGAGTCATTGCTCAAGAGAACTACTAAAGATTCTCTACGGGAGAGAGGAGGATGGCACTGACTGGCAAATAATTAGGAGAGGGCATTCTGACAACTGTAATGAAAATGGTAGCAGGAGGACACAGGAAATGGGGAAACCACGCTGATTTGGGAATTAAAATAAGAATGATAAAGGTCTATTTAGATTTATTAAGAGAGTAAAGATCTAATGGGTTGGGATATTCTGAAAGCAGGGGAGTGGACAGAATTAAAGCCTATTTAAGGAGTGAATCTTCTGGGGTTATTATGCATAAAAAAGAAGGATGAAAAAGTTGTCAGGAGTTTCTCTCAGGTTTGAGCTGGGCCTGAGCATGGCTGTATGATGATAGAAGGAAAAACAGGAGAGACTTGCTGCTGGAGATGATAATTTCATTGTAGATATAGTGAGAAGAAGCTGCCTATAAGGGCATTTTGTTTGAAATGTCCAGCAGGTGTTGGAGCTAAAGTACAGGGCTGAAGATACAGACTCATCACTCGTGCCTACATGGGTTTGTAAAAATGATGAAATGGAACACTTTGCCTAAGGAGAATCTTTGGCGTGAATGCATGTCTCTCTAAGAAACACCCACGTTTTGGGACCAGGCCCAAAGAGAAGGCAAGACAGACCC